CGAAATCAATCTTATGTACGCTGTCTCTCCCATGCATTGCTGTAGCCGATCTTTTTCGTGCACTTTTTAATTCCACTTCACTTCTAGGTGGACGTTTCGTGCATAGTCCGTATTCATTCACTTTGATATTCACCTGTCTACTGCTCTCCCCTACAGAGCACGCTTCACATTCTCAACATTTCATCATACAGACACAATTACTTTGTGACATTTTGGGAACAATATCCTTGACATTCACCAAAGCTTTCTCCAGAGAATTACAGGGTTTGAAATTTACTATGATGTCATATGAAGCGAATTGTCTTTGAATTTGTTCAGTTGTGTCCTTTCGATATAGAATTGCTATCGTGTATAGCCAAGACTTTTCAAATTTCTGTTTTCCCTTATGCTCCTTTTTATTGATAATATTGTCTGGTAGCTTTCCCGGATGAATATTTCCAACCAAAATCTCTTTTATATTGAATATCTCATTATCCATATCGTCATTATCTATCATAACGTTTCTAGCCCTACCAACGTGATTTAAAATTACTGAAAGTTTCAGTCCTATTGAATGACCTCATTTGAATTTCAGATGCTTGTTGGAATGTGTCGGCTTTCTGCATATGGTATACTTTAGTTTCTCTTCAGTTCGTCTTTTACAAGACAATCTAAAAAGTTTAGAGTTCCGTCAGCCGATTCTACTTCATTTGTAACCTCCATATATTCTGAGATTAGGTTAATCTCTGTTAGAAAGTTTTCTTTTTCAGCTTTCCTTATGATGATAAATGTATCATCTACATATCTGTACTATGTTCTAGGATGACAACGAAAGCTTGTAAATTCTTTCATTCCTAGAGCAGGTTTGCTGTAATTGGAGGTGCTGGTGAACCCATTGCAACTCCATCTATTTGACAGTATCATTTGCCTTTAAAGGTGAAATATGAAGATTCTAAACAAAGTTTTAGGCATTTTATAACTTTTATTGATAATAAAGGTTTAGTTAATACTTCTTGAATGTTTTCAAGCTCATACTTCATAATCTCAAGGGAATCACATGTAGTGAGCATATATAGTGATTCCTCGTTTCTGGAGATATATGATATCTCAAAGGCATTGGAATGGTGTGCATTGTACGGACTCATTATAGTGAGATTTAGGATGTGAGAAAAGGAGTATAGATTCAGTATTGTCGAAAGATATTCGCCAAAAATATATAGAAAAATTATTTGACGCATCTATACTTTATAGATCACTTGCATTATGTGTATGGATTTGCCATTTTTATGATCAATTTACTGCCAACATCACTTGCGCTACTAGTTCTAGTGTGGTGAGAGCTGTCTGCTAGCTAAAATTGGTACACAGCAATTTAATTCAACGTTTACCTCCCAAATCTCGATCACGGAAAAAAAACAAGAACAAAGACTAACTCAACAACCAATCGCAGCATATTTGCGTGGGCGGATACGATTAACAGATACACCAGCGAACTGTCTAAGAAACGGCAACAAAGAGATAACAGAAAACCTTCAGCAGGAAAACAACCGATCAGAAGCAGTTTCTTTTCTGCTAACAATAACGAATGATAATGTACATAAAAATATATAGATGTCTCTCGATTATCTCGATAAGCGATTTCTTGCTTGGCCCTTCTCTTCTGTTGTTACACTAGCACCACTAATATCATTTCCCCCCTCTCAACCTCCTCATACCCTAATGATGCTGAATTATATAATAGTGCAGAAATGCTAAGAATTGAACTTTTGAACGAATTTTCTGAAATTATTACTGTGCCTACTTAACGTGATGAAGTGGTGTGGCTTGCTGGTTGTTGTTGTTGTTAAGCTAAAGTCTATTCAACGCTAGTTCATTTTGGTTCAATGGACGTGGAAAATACAAGAAGAGATGATGGAACCCTGAAGAGATCCATCCAGAGGAAACCAACGTGGAACGGCCAAATAACGCACTAATATAGTTATATAAATAAATAAATTTATTCTCATGATACAGTACATGAGGGACGCCAGTTTACAGGCATCATCAAATTGTTACAGAAATAGAACCGTATCATTCAGTCACAATTTACAGTCGATAGCAAAATATGTTTAACATGTACACTGGAGATTATACATACACTTGATAAATGTTAATCCCAATAGTATAAAACATCCTTTTCACTTATGTACAATCATTTCTGTGCATAGTTGTAAAAATCTGCTAGATTGTCAGTGAGTGCAACACATCAGGAAATACAGAAGTATTGTCTTTGCATTAACAAAAAAACCCAGGTCTTTGGTGGATGGGTTATGAGTGCCTGGGAAAAAAATAAAGCTTGAAGTCAGTTTTCATACATAATTTTGTTGTGTTCAGAATCCTTGAATTATAGTTCATTGATGTGTTATTTTGAAATCAGTGATTTGTTTATCTCATTTGATCTGCAATGTCATTGTTGGGAGTAAAATACATAAGCTTTAGACGCATTAATTAATGGATTTCTACTGCTTGTGGGTATTTACTTCTCGTGAGGAAGGTTTTTGAATTTTAGTTGTTCCGACAAGATTTGTGGATACTGACTGCTCAGCAACATTACGGATATAAGTTCATCACATTATCTAAGGAAAAATGGGTTGTAGTTGGTGAGGTGTATATGATGCCCGACGAGCGTACATCTGTCCATGTGATGTTGTGGTGAGTTATATATTTTTCATGTTGTCGGTTTATGTCCATTTTATTCCACTTATTGTGTTGGGTACCTTGAGCCGAAGACCAGCTCTCATCACCACACTGAGCCATCACATCATAAAAGTCTGCGGCAGCGATCGCTTGGAAGAGAAACTCCTATTCCTTGAAAACATCATGGCTCAAAATGGTTGCTTAGCACGTTTCGTCGAAAAGAACATGAAACCTAAACCGATAAGAGAGGAATGCGATTAAGCGCCGAAGAATACTCTGTATATGAATCTGAATTTTAGGAGAGATTTGGCGGCTGATATCCTAAGGAGGAGAATATCCAGTTCTTTAAAGAAGACTTTCCCCGCATCAATGCCCAATACTTCGAAACAATCCGAAGGACATACCTTCAAATATGAGCAATTCAGTGTGCATATACCATATCATTTGCTCGTGCGGAGCTAGGTACATAGGTCGTTGTATGCGCGTCCTTTCAAGATATGTTAGAGAACGTTACCCAGCGCGGCTGTAAAGGCATATCAGCTGTTCACTCAGAATCGCCATTGCTGAACGTCTGATCAACACCTCTCACAACATCTCAACTCACTCATTCAAAGTAATATGAAGGGTCAGCAGAAACCTACAAAAAGTAGTATGTATCCAACTTCTCTGCACTGCGGAAGCCCTCGCAGTATGCACCAAAAAGCCAGAGCTTTGTGTTCAAAAGAGATTAGTCCAACCTCTATAATCACTATGGGCCCAGTTCGGTATGTTCCTTCAGACCCTATTTTTTTTTCTTTTTTGTTTTTTTTTCACAATTGTTTTGTTCGCTGTGTGTGGTTCTTATCCTCTCTGTCTTTATTCAATTCGTCTGATTTTTAAAGTTATAGGAGCAGTTATTTTAATTTTGTTTCTATGCTTTATCTGCTCAAATTTATAATTCGTTTAAAATAAATATCTTACGATGATATCCCAATCCTGTGTAACTTTTGTTGCTAATGCTCACGTAATCCATAAATACACCTCCCAACTCCCATCTCAAGTTGAATATCATTATTTCCATTTGTTTTTATGCTCATTTCGCTATAATCCTGTGTAATTTTGTTTCTGAGCCTCTCGTAAACCATATCCAGTTGAAACTAATTGTCACATTTTATTCACCCTCGTATTTATACGTGGAATCAAGTAAAAATTGTATCTATATAAAATTACGTATTTAAATGCGATTGTACAACTTTTGAAAATGAAATCGCCGGAAAAAATTTTATGAAATTTCATCTCCAAAGCAAACCAAGAAAGAACTTTTCTTTAAATCACCATAGCATCGGGATAGGACGATACAATTGGTGCGTATGCATTAAGGCCATTCCACAATGCTTGCCACCGGAATATTGCGAACCCTTTATTCATGCCGTCGTAAAATTAGTTAACTGGGCAACTCTGGTGAACAGGTATTGTGAAAGCGAAGTTTATTATTAACAAATCCTTTTTATTGTGACTGTAAATACTGTTAATTACTTCATTCCGAAGGGCAATTGATGCAGGATTTTTCAAGACGAGAATATGCTCTGTGAAGATTAACTAGTTATTTGTTATTTGCAGAATGCTGTTTCCATAAATTTCTTTATTTCATATTGACTTAGAGACGCTAGACTGATGATCAGTTTGTTTACAGGAATATGTTGGTCCCATATAGTCAAGTGCACAGTGATGAAAGTAGCTTTTCGTATCATTAACATGATATCAAGAATCGATTTGTTAGGTCGTTCACACATAAATTCAATCCATGAAAAATAAATGATTGCGATGCGGAAGACGCACTGGCTGCTTCCAAACGACTGCTAAACAGATCAGTTTGCCAAACTGCTTCTACTTGCAGTAACCCATGTGGCTGTCTGTACTTAATAATAGACTTATCTTATCGTTTAACTTTATTCCTTCCTCGGCTTACACTGTGATAGATGTTATTGTCAGGCTATATTGCTATTGTGGTATCATTATCTCATTCTACTCATGAACACCATCTTAAATTTTCACGGTCATACTAACGTCTCCCTGGTTCATCACATTCTGATGAGTCAACAAAAAAATAAAGCAAAATACTGTAACGTCCACAAGATTATTGCAACCGTGGTTATCTCAGTCTCAAATTTATCTTAAAACTTCGTGACTTTTCAGTATGACCATGTGACTAAATTTAGCACTCTGGGATTTACTGTAGCCACGGAATATTTTTTAAAGTCGAGCAAGATGAATTATTTTATGCTTGTAACGACAGCCCTGGATATTGCATCTTCAAGCCAAGGTTACCTTGGACCTCGAAATGGGCTTACTAGTCGACTTTAGGCGCTGCTTTCGAGCTGTAGGTTTATGGGTTTGGTAAAACTAGCAATGAGTTATCACGTAGTTTTTCCATTTCATAGACAGTGTTTTACTCTCATAGACTGTTACAGTTCACGCATTTTTAAATGCATCCTAAGCGATTTTACATCATTTGTGGTTCCTCACAAAATGCATCTGAACCCAGTTGAAAGACAAACATCGCTAAAGTGGGCAATTTCGATCGGTTGAGGCATGGCCGATAGGTGAGTGAAATGCGACCTAAGGTGCCGACTACTCTCGTTTCACCTGCTTTTCCCTATTTTTCTGTAATTTTCATTACCCACCTTTACTCTTTCTACACACGTTTTCAACGGACAAAGTATCCCAAGCTTACTATAATGCTGAATTAAATCTCAACAATTCTGGAACAACTCTAAAATTCTATACTGATTAAATTCTGAATCCGTTCTGAAATGGTTTGTTTATGTACACAGACTAGAACTCAGTGTTGTTTTTCAGCAAGACTGGCACCAATTCAGCACACTGTTCTTCTTCTAGGAGTAGATCAGAAGCCAATGGGTTCCCTTATCAGCGTCGTTTCAGGCTGTAAAGCACGTACTCAGCACTGAACACCAAATGAATTTGTTGACGGTATTAATTTATGAAATTTGTTGGAAAATTACATATTTTTTCTGCGATAATAACTTCATGTCGCATAAGATAAATAGTTTAGACATTTCCATCACGGTAATTACAGAATAGAGTTTAAGCTTAAATTGAATTCTGTAAATCAAATAAATTCATGAAAAATTTTTCATACTTATTTGTTCTAAATTTTTCTACGATTACCTGCGTAATTAATCTGATTTCTCATCTTTGCATAGTCATAAAGTTCGTATTCTCCAACTTAATCTTTTCTTTCATCAATTCAGGCCTGTTCTGTACTAATTAATATGGTGTATAACCTCTATTTAAACTTGAACATCTACCATATCTTACAGATTCAAATGGTGTCAAACAGCTTGCCAACTTACAATAGTCCATCGCGTCATTTCTAATGTAATTTGAGAAATTCACATTGACAATATGATATTCTGAGTCACTTGATTTATTATATTGCTAAGTGAAGTTTGTGAAGTCTAGTTTGCGAGGTTTGCGAAAGGTTTAAGAATACGTTGAATAAAATAAATGATTAATGTAGAGACTAAGAAAGGATCAGTTACATAGTTCTGTGGAAGACATTAATTAAGGATCATCGATCTTAAATACCATTCTTTTTCTTCGATTTACTAAAAGTATAAACTTTGTAATTGTTATTATAATATTTGAAAGTGTACGATGCATAGGCTTTAAATGTCAGGTTTATTGGTAGATGCAAAATTTATTTCGTAATCGCTAAGTAACGGTGACTGAAGAGTCTGGAGTCATGTAACCAAGACTTTTCAAACATTCTTTGTTAGCGTCCTAAAATCACTCACATATATTAAATATACCTTTATTTTACCCGACTTGCTAATGTATGGCTAAGTAGTTTTTATGCCTACTCAACTAAATATTCTGAAAATGTATTTCTGGATGCAGTTTAATAGGTTTTAAATCTCCTTTACTTACATTTTAATTAATCCAATATTTAAGCAAATAAGGGGTGCAAGCTTCTATCTTTCAACCTTGTTTATAACCAGCAAATGAATCACTGATTGCTAAATAAACTAGTTGACTTTTTAACTGTTAGTGAGAATAGCTTCCTTGTAACAAAATTTTGAAGTCTGTGCATGCATTCTGTGGCCTTTTGAGAACACATTTTTGTACATTTTATCTTCGCCTTCATGTTTTGTATTATTTCCCAATAAAACATTACATTACATTAATAAATTGAAAAATTTAAAATACTGGAGGGAGAAAGAAAACTAGGTTGCAGTTATTTTAGGTTATGTGGTGCAGAATTACACTAGTTGTTTGATTTTAATCTGAGGGTCGTCTGATCAACAAATATTGGGTGAAGTATATCTTATTCATCTTTAATTTCTCATTGGTTTGTGTTATGCATTTTATTGAGCAGTTAATAATTAAGAAATAATTTTGGTGTCTGCAGTTAAAATGCAAAAATAAGTTCATGAAACTATCTGAAATCTTCAGATTTTATGCTGATTTCTTTAGGTTAATGGAAAGTCTGTGTACATCAGATTTATCAGGAAAAATTATCAGATTTTCAAACTGTTATCTAGTCATAGGAGGACATCTAGTAAAAGATGATTTGTGGGTCCGAGATGGAGTAATTCTTGATGGATTGACTGTATTCTTTTCAGAAAAGGCAGTAGCTGATATCTATGTTGATTTAAACGGAAGTATCATTTCTCCTGGACTTATAGATTTGCAAGTTAATGGTGCATATGGATATGACTTCTCAAATCCAAACGAAAACACTAGAGAAATATGCTTCGAGGTCGCCAAAAGACTTCCAGAAACAGGAGTTACAGGATTTTGTCCAACTATTATAACATCACACCAGGAATCCTATACAAAACTTATTTCTGGATTTCAAGACTATGAAGACAAAATAAATTGCTCTAAAATGCTGGGGATCCATCTCGAAGGTCCGTTCATCAGCAAAGACTGTGCTGGAATGCATCCGACCGATCTCATAAAAGAGTTTGGAAGTGATCCTGTCAAGGTAACTTGTATTCATTAATTGTCACACTCTTAGGCTATTTCAGAAGTGTACGGTCCAAATCTTAACAAAGTTAGGATAGTCACAATAGCTCCTGAATTAGAAGGTGCTTCACTTGCAACAGCCCATTTAGTTTCACAAGGTATCGTCGTGTCTATTGGTCATACAAATTCTGACGATAAATCAGCAGAGTCTGTTTTATCTTCAGGAGCGACATTTGTTACTCACCTTTTCAATGCTATGTCACATTTCCATCATCGTAAGGCCCATATTTTTGGCCAGTTCGCTAGCTGTAAGACACCACTACATATCGGTCTTATTGCTGACTTAATACATTCGCACTCAGGTGCCCTCTGCCTGGCACAGTCGATCTGTCCCAATCATGTAACCCTCGTCACTGATTGCAATATAGCATTTGGACTGCAGGATGGCATGTACACATTTGGTGTACAAAGGATTCAAGTAGAGGATAAAAAGTAAGTTTCCCTATCTAACTTCTTATTGTTACAAAAAAGTTTGTTCTTCTTAAGTGACTTTTATGAAATATAATACAATGTGTTCAATGTCTTACTGCTCTGAAATGCAAATTAGATGTATAAAATATTGCCTGAAATTCGTTGTCAATGGAGGTATTTAACTGATACGAAAATTAATCGCTCAACTCAAGAAAAATATCTCTCTGATGACTTTCTGTTTGTCCCAGTTATCATGATTTCAGCTGACTAAGACAATTGGTTCTGTTCCACATTATTTCCTAAGTAGATCAAGAAGATATAATATTTTAATGCCCGTAACTTGGATGTTCGGATATTCGCAACATTTAACCTATTTTGATAGGTATCTGTCTTAGTTGGTACCCTGTTTATTGTCTTCTCTGTTTATTGAGAACTTCACACTTCCCCTAACTTTTTCTAGGTTTTGGACCCAGTCATAGAATATCCTAAAATTGCATTTCATTAAGGATTTGTGATCTCCATTTTCAAAGGATATCAACTGCTTAAGACAAAGAAAGGCTATTCATATGAAGATGAGTGTTTATGTTCGAAATTTTGAAAATAACAAGGAATGGGTGCATGTGAGAAATTGTAAACGATTTCGAACCATGTCAAAAAAATGTCCATCTCAAACATCCCTCCTAATCAGTGAATATACACCCTAATTATTTGAGATCAATATTCACTGACTTCATATCCTAGTTGGTGTTTTATTTTTACTTCTTGACTTTATCTTACTTTAGACAGAAGAGCTGGTTATGCGTGTTTCCGAAATTGACCAATAGAAATCTATGACTAACTTTTTCTTGTTTAATATAATGTGTCAAATCTCAGTATTACTTAATCTGTGATTCCAGCTAATGCAAAGAATAAAACATAGACATCTGTTTTCACTAACGGATCATTTACTTTTGATGAAGACTGAGTAGAACAAAGCGTGGATATACTCTCAGCACCAAGGACAATGAAAGCTAGCAAATACTGAACGAAACTCTAAGATACCCTCAGCAATCAGTTCAGTGTAGCCTTCTTTAATCAGCTGTAAGACATTCAACCTGCTAACTACCTACACTTTAACTGTGTATTGGTGTAGAACAATCCAGCAGTATCATCTTAGGCTTGATAGGAGATGAACACAGACCAACCGTAATCAAGTTTTTATTTCTTGTCATTACTACAAACGTTTTCTTTACTTACTTACTTTTTACTTTACTTCGGCTATCTCCTACGGGAGGATGAGCCGGCTTCATGAACGTCTCGAATCATCGCTGCCCAGGCGCGGCAATTTGTAAGAGAGTTCATGAAGTTTCATGGGAATTTGGTACGAGTAATGTCCCCAGCATCGCTCGGCCTTTTGTTTGAGAGTGCAGCTCTAGCCTTCACAGGGAGCCTGCGCGTGTCTTTTAGGGCCGCAACCTTCCGCTCTGGTTGAGGTTCCCCCCAGACCGGCGCTTCCTTTGGAAACCCAGGGTCGGGTACCGGGTTAGGGGGGGGGGCACCCAGCCCCCCCCCCGTTGCAAACGTTTTCTTTACTCCAAATCGAGTCGGTGTTTTGTTCCAGCCTGACCCTATGTCAGCTAACATAGGGTCAGGCTGGAAAAGAGCTAGCGGTGGTCAAACCAAAACATGCCACCAGTCAATGAAATCCACAACAGTTAGTCTAAGCCAGCCACGTAGGAAGGTGTAGACTTCCTGACTGGTTGGGGTCCTCGGGACGGTAAAAAGCAATGGCTTGAAACAATTGGTGGTATGGCTCAAAATCGTTCTCAATGGCTGGTGCAGATGCATCCACTCCTGGTGACTTATGATTTCCAATGAAACTATATTGTTCTTTGTTATTACTATTCTATGCTCTCACGCCTCTGTTTACCGTCTCTATTATGCATTTCTTCTCTTGCTTTGTGTGGTACATGGAGTGTGGCGAATTGAATTGCTGCACATATGTGCAAAGTTCTATGTCGAAAACAGACAGACGGTGTTTTGTTCACCCTGATATACAACGAACGTTGGTTAGCCTATAGCTGAAATTGTTAGATTCACGATTTACTCATAAAAAAGCTGAACAAAATGACAAGTGGTTCGCTTTATCAAGAGTTTTGCTTACTTCCAGTTTCTTTTTAGTTGCCTCTTGATAACAGCAGAGAAAGTGGCTGAATAAATAAATTCTTAATTTCCAACCGTAGATAAATATCTGATTCCTGACGCCACCCCTAGGACACAAATGTAACATGGTGTTGTGAGTTGAAGCTAATGACAACATTCAGTCTTCCGGAAATCTGTCTTAAGAATTCCTAAATGTTTCAAGTGAGCTGCTCACCTTCCAGATGTAAATTGGAGCTTTGGGACTGCAGTGAATTGACTGTTGAGAATAAATTAGTATTGTATGTCAACTATCTCACAAATTGGGAGACTACGTCCATTTTGTTGAATTTTCGATAAAATTTAGACCGGTTAATTCAGCTACCATAAAATTTCACTACTTGTTTATCTGAAAGTGTATTTCCGTGCCCCTTAATAGTCGTGTGTATTGTGCATCTGCATGCTTTATCCGAACGTGGCCATTAAAAATAGTAAACCTACGAAAACTTCACATATTTATCCAATATTTTTTTTTAGCATTACTCAGGACTGGTAAGTCATCAACGCAGGACTTGACACGAAATCGAAATAGTTTAAGTCGTTGCACCCCATAAAATACAATGGCATTTTCATCTGAGTGATAAAAATGTGAAGTTTGTTTTCTTTTGTAAAATATAGAAGTCAGTTGAGGTAGTTACAAAACACCGTCGTATGAAGTACCTGATTTCTATCCGTCGTTCACCCCTATATTTATAGACATGAATTGTCATCCACTCCCCATTTAGACTAGATTTATTTGAGTGAGAAAAAACAAAATTACATATTCAACTATCTTGGTGGCTACACCAGGTTTCGTATAAGGAGACAAAGCTAGGCGGAGAAGCTTAATGGTGATGTTTTTGAAATTCAGTACCTAATTGTGGTGACTATCTGTTGTGATTGCGATCCAAACATTAAACAACAAAATATTTCACTATTTAGTGGTCGAATTTATCATAATATCTGACGCACCAACTATATTGCCATCACTAATGATTATGAAGAAAAGCTGAAAAACACACTGCTTCCACAAGTTATGCTTAAACACATAGTATTTTTGAGCTCCACAGCTGATACAAATTACTTAAGAGCAAAAAGATTGTTAAAAAGGTAAGGTTTGTCAAAGTAGACAAAATCAATTTATGAATTTGTTAGTCTGGCTCACAAAAGAAGGCTTCAACCTCCTGGCTGGACTTCTGAAGGTGCTAAGAATCAATGTTTGAAGATTGTTTGTGCAGTAACTTCGAAGCAATCACTATGGTGCAAATGAATTCATATTTTTGCATCATCCAGTTTATGAAATTTTCCACCAGTCTTCATCTAATTATTCTCTTCTTCTATCTTGGTCTATAGTATTACAATTACATTTCTTCCCCTTACTCAAATGTATGTTTCTCAGAAGTAGGAAAACTTTTATTGATGCACTTCTTAGGTTATGTTGTATGTTGGTAAGTCAGTCAGCAGAAAGTTGGCAAGTTTCTGACAACCTCATCTGAACTCGTAGACGGTCTGTCTGTCTGTCTGGATTCAACATAGAACTTGGCACCGAAGTGCAGCAGTTCGAGTTGCCACGTTCCAAATAGCACACAGAGGTAGACAAGAAGATGAGTGAAGAGAATCAATAGAGTTTGACAAGTATAAGAGTGAAACAGAATGGGTAATGGTAGACGGTAACGCAAGATGACTAGTGATAGTAGCTTATATGTAAACTAACACGTTATTTACACATAAAATGAGACCTAAAGTCCGTGAAGACAATCTATGTGAATATAAACCTATTAAATGTAGTGTAATTAATTATAAAAGACAGTTTTATTTAGTAGATTAATGTACCCGACTTCCTAAACGAACAACTATTTTCAACAGTCGAACTCGCCGAGTTTAACATGGCTAGAAAGCTTTAATACAGTTAATTTGAGTTGGATGTCCCGAAGTACATAGCTTTGGTTGAGATTAGATAGTAGACGCGTTATCTCAAGAGTAGCAACACTCACCAGCTGTAACTGTGGGCTGCAGACAGTGGATATGGCTCACTGAGACGTACATGAATACATTATTTGCTTGCTGATATAATTGGCTTCGGTCAGTGATCATTCCATTCCATGTGGAAACCGTGTTTGTTAGATCTAGGCCCTTACATGCATAGTAATGGTCTTATTGACTATATCCTCGATTGTATTATGCCTTATGCACAGGTATACGACACTAACCATTGACGCACTTTTAGACATGCCGTTAAGCAAATTACTCTACTTTTGATTGCTTCGCAGGCTTAAACTACTGGAAATACAGTCGTCTTACGGAACAATTTTAATATCTTTTAAAAATTGTAACAGTCTAAGAATACTATGATTATGTATGTCACACACTTGTGAATCATTACAACTTGAACGCTCTGTAGTGATGCTTAATTTACAGCTGATGGAACTAGGTTAAACAGACAGACCACCTGACATACGTGGGCTGACTGCCATATGTGTTAGAAAGCCTAATGTTTGCCAAGTATTTTTCTGCGAACGCTGCTTTAGCATGGTGTACACATATCCAGGCCTCCATGTCTAGCACTACTGATTTCGGATGTATATGTGCGGGGGATGAAAGTCAATTTTGCTAACAAGACGTAAGTAATCACTAGCAGTCATGTTGACTAAGACGTAGGTCGGACATTCATACCTACCTCTTGAATACGTGTATACAACTCCCGAATTCTTTTTAATTCATTTTACAAATCTTAAAAGCATTGTCGTGAACTTCTTGGTTTTATTTCTCCTAAATTATTTACGATTATTCGTGGTTATTATCTTTTTTCTGCTTCACTTTAGAGCCTATGTAGCTGGAACAGATTGTTTAGCTGGAGGAACTACATCTTTGTTAACATGTGTCAGGAATTTCTGGTTAGAAGTTATGTACGACAAAACTGATCCTGAACCTAGCATTCCTAAAGAATGGACCGGACTTGGATATGCATTGGCAGCAGCTAGCACAAGACCAGCACGCGTTCTTCGCCTTTACAGTAAAGGTGTAGCTACCAACACTACCACTCCTAAGACACTATCAATTTCAGAATCTCATTTAGGAATAGGAGCCTTAGCTCCAGGCTGTTCTGCAGACTTCATAATTATACGACCAATAACATGTACAACAAGCTTAAAACCGGAGCTTAAACTGTTGTGTACATGGATTAACGGAAAACCTGTTTACCTCACTTTAGAGCATGAAACCTACATAAAAATGAAATCTTGCATTTAAACCTAGTAAACATGACACTAGACATTTTTAACATGATTTTTAATTTCACCTGGATTTTTAACACTACTTTGTTTTCTTTAGTTTTTAATTCACTAGCTCTGTACTAAATTTAGTAGGTACGAAGGATATTCAAATTTAAAATGTTTATCAAAATATTGTTCTACTAGCTTACAGAAATGTACAATATATGATCAGATAAGAATTTTGAATTTCTGAAGCTTGCAGAATGTTTCTAAATGTTACGTTGCATCATTTAACGTCAACGAATATCTAGTGCATAGGGTTTGTATGGGATTTAAGTAGTAATATAAAAGTGTTAAACAGGTAAACATTTTTTAATTCGTGGAAAATTCCCATTGTAACAAAGAGAAAATCAAAACAAGTGATTCAGCTAATTCTTTTTTCAAACGAATTTCTTATCAAGCTGTACAATCGTATATGTATGGTTTTTAAGAAGTTATATCCGGTGAGGGAATTGAACTATAGGTGTGAATACATAAAATAGTAATTACTGTCATATATAGAATAACTCATAGGATGTATAGAAGTTGAAAGGGGTGTGCAATTATAGGATAAGTAGGCAAATCGAATAAAATAAAAACGTTACGTAATATTGTGTGAAATTCGATAACATAGAATTTAACGTTTCAAAACAAAATTGATTTAGAATGACAAGTGGAACAAATGAAATCATACCGGGGATAGTTCAGAGTGTGAATAGTAATAGTAACAATTGACGTAATAAAGGAAGAGTATATAAATTGAATAGACAAAATGAAAAAAAAGTGGTAGAGCCAAAATATGATTAGGGATTACCATACTTTAGCATAGAGGGATTAAGACCATGCAAGTTGGAGGCGCTGAACGAAATTTTTCTATACGCGGAAATCTGGCTTTTCTGTTTCGATAACCAAAGCTTCAGCAATACAAATGAGTCAGGTACGTAGTGATCTCGTTAAATTACTTTTTGCCTTGTAGATGACTTTAAAGGCGGAGGCTACTTCTTATTGCTCCACTTCCACCTTTTCGTAACTATGCAGCATAGTGTTCTTGCACTCTCTTGGACAAAACTCGAGTCGACCGACAAATATACCTATCTCCACGCGAGCAGCTGAATTGATGAGCACATATAGAGTTGGTCAACAGCGGAATCTTGTCCTTCAGGTTATTGAACAGTAACGGTCGACTAGTAGAGGCTATTCTCAAAGATGCAGCAGGGAATGTTCTTTTCAGGTACTGTGATATTCTTCTTCTCATGATATCGGAAGCTAAGTCACCTTCCAAGTTTATGTAAAGTATTTTCTTGGGTGTGGATGATAAGTCACGTTTCATACGATTTGAATGTATATTCTTGTCTATAAAACATGGTATAAATTTGTCCAAGTGAATTCACTGTATGTCCTAGCATCAATTTAAACTTGAAATAAAGGATTCATAAATTCGCATGAATTATGTAGTATTACTATCATCGACGGGCAATGTTAGCTGACACAGGGTCAGGCTGGAAAAGAGCTAGCGGTGGTCAAACCAAAACATGCCACCAGTCAATGAAATCCACAACAGTTAGTCTAAGCCAGCCACGTAGGAAGGTGTAGACTTCCTGACTGGTTGGGGTCCTCGGGACGGTAAAAAGCAATGGCTTGAAACAATTGGTGGTATGGCTCAAAATCGTTCTCAATGGCTGGTGCAGATGCATCCACTCCTGGTGACTTATGATTTCCAATGAAACTATATTGTTCTTCGTTATTACTATTCTATGCTCTCACGCCTCTGTTTACCGTCTCTATTATGCATTTCTTCTCTTGCTTTGTGTGGTACATGGAGTGTGGCGAATTGAATTGCTGCACATATGTGCAAAGTTCTATGCCGAAAACAGACGGACTATCATCAACCATCACTCTATAACTGTGACCCCGGTACAGTTTGAATGATAATTCGGAATTCGGACCATAACTACGACCAATGCTGTTAAGCGAATGCTTTTTGACAGTATCTCACTGTCACTGGAAAGGCGAGCTGGCATTCAATCCTTATAGTTTTTTGACAACTTATCACACTCATAGACCGACGAGCTGTAGAATCACGTCACATGTTATTCTTAGTCACTGACTAATAGAAAAACCGTAATCCCTTTACCCAATCATTCTTTTATATTTTTAGTCCACTGTTGTTTCTTCTTGCCTGTCAGTGCTATTTATTAAGAAGATAAGTTGAAATAACGCATTTCTATGCAAAGTTCCACATCGATCTACCATAAAAGTTAAATCAATCGGCCTCTCCAGTAAACTTAGACAGGGTTATTAGAAGTTTATTTGGAAGATGCGATACAGTTGTCTAAAACATTTAAAACAATCTGATTACAACGCCTGCCTGATGTAAATTTATGGAGAAATTAAAGTCGAAAGAAAAAATCTAGTGGGAGATTTAAGAGTAAAAAAAGATTACAAGGTAGAAAAAATAAGTAGATTATAATATGATGCCTAGTAAAATAGTCGTATAAGAACTATCATAGTAGATTCGGTGTGTGTGTGTGACTAAATTGTTTTTGTATGCAAAGGAAGTGCTTGACTTTAGTTAGTCGTTTCAATTGCAGTAGAAAATGTGAACAAAACGGTCACATTTAATGAAATATTATGTTTATAAGCTTATCAAAATGATTTATTTGAGGAAATTAAATGGTGTTGCTGAGATATGTCTCAGAGAATGGATGTCTGTCTGTCTGGACTCAACATAGAACTTGGCACCGAAGTGCAGCAGTTCGAGTTGCCACGTTCCAAATAGCACACAGAGGTAGACAAGAAGATGAGTGAAGAGAATCAATAGAGTTTGACAAGTATAAGAGTGAAACAGAATGGATAATGGTAGAAAGGAATATGAAAGATTACAGAGACTGAATACATCTGCGCCATTGACAACGATTTTGAGCCATGTCACCTACTGTCTCCAGCCATTGATTCCTAGAGTCCCGAGGGCCCCAACCCGGAAGTCTGCATCTCCCTACCTGACTCAGTTTAACTGTCAAGGATTTCATGGATTGATGCCATGTTTTTGTTTGGCCACCACTGGCTCTTTTCCAATCTGAACCTATATCAGCTAGCAAAGCCCGTCGGGGGAGGCGGTGGTTAGGCATGCGCAGCACGTGACCTACCCATCTTAGTCTATGTAACTTTATAGCCTCGTCGATTGATTTTCCCTCTTTGCCCAACACTCTACGCCTAACGTCAACATTACTTATCTTGTGAAACCACCTAACGTGAGACAGAGATCGCAGACATCTATGATCGAAAGCAGTCAACCTTTTCATGTCTTCAACGCGTATTGGCCATGTTTCAGAGCCATAGAGAAGGACGGAGCGAACTGATGAGCAGCACACACGTCCCTTGGTTGATAACCGGATGTCACGCCTACGCCAGAGATGGTGTAAGTCAGCGAAAGCAGCTCGAGCTTTTCGGATCCGTGCTGAGATTTCATCGCCAATCAGTCCGTTGGTGCTAATACAACTTCCCAAGTAGGTGAAGTGGTCAACATGTTCTATCACTTCACTCCCTATCACTAAGTTAGGGATTGACGGGGTCCAGTCCTGTAGCAGCATCTTACATTTTGCAGGGGCGAATCGCATGCAAAACATACGAAGATTGCTGCTCAAGGTGTTCAGAAGACTCTGCATTTTGTCAGCAGAGAATGGATGTACAAGGAGATTCATCTTGAAATATGAAAAAGAGTAAATCCAGAAGACACAACACCAAAACAGTGAAGATGAAGTCTTTATTGTTGTTCCATGCAACAGAGAAATAATATCGTAGCAAATTGCTATCAGTGTAGAGTACGAAAGAAAACGTCTGCTTACCACAAAACTTGCATCATTATACAAAACCAAAAGTTTGTAAGGCAAAAACCGTACTGATGTGCCTTTAAATGCCCTTTCTCTGCTAACTTCTCCTCACTGAGAGGATTTTCCACGCGGCTACGCAACCTCATAAGTTAGAAATTGTTTCCTGTCTCCCTCATACTTCTCGAGCCTTCTGTTTCGTAAAAAATTTAGATAGAGGATCACTGAAGGTGGAAATTGAGATGCTTATTTTTCACTACTCTCCATTTTTGGATCTCCTAATTCACAATATTTTACATACCATCGTTCCAACATTTAAAATATTTTATTTTAACTCACGACAACTGTAATTTCAGAGGGTCTGCAGCTGATTAGAACTTGTGAAATAGAATGATATCTCATTATGCTGCATATTCGGCTTGTCTTTCAACATCACGGAGATACCAAATACCAGATTAACTAACTGTTCAACATTCAGCTGAAAATACTAATTATTGCAACAAAGTTAGAACTGGATATACAGCGGTATTTTATAAGATTGGGACGAATGTAAAACTAAAGTGGTAATTAAAATAGATTTCTCCTTGTACTAGTGCAGATAATGATTGAGTAACGTAAGCACGAATTGAAGAATTACTAGAATTTCAATGCTTTACTAGATTTTAATGTTGCCTATTAGGAATCGAAATCTTGCGACTATTATGTGGTCACATAGTATCTGAAATCTTCAGATAAATATGTACTGTACAGCGTAGAAATTTGCACAGAAGTGTAGTCGCACTCCATATAGCACACAAAGGTACAGAAAAAGAACAACTACAAAGAGCAGAAATGTATGGAAGAAAGAATACCTAGAAAAACAGGAGGACTGGATGGATCTGAGAGATTACCGAGTAAGTGCAACTGCGCCAGTGAGAATCGTTATGAGCCACATCACCAACAGTCCCACACCAGTCGCTCTTAGCATCTCAAGGACCCCAGACTGGGAGATGTATACCTCCCTACCTGGCTCACACCAACTTTCAAAAACTTAATGGAGAGTGACCAGGTTTTCATTTGACCACCCATAGCTCTTTCCCAACCTAGTCCTAAGTTACTTAACATTGTTCATTGAGGAGGACGATGGCCCCACATACGTATCACATATCTTAGCAACCCCAGTCGATATTTATTTATCCCAGTCGATGCAGCTTCAAAACCCAATCGATTGACCTCCCTTCCTTACCTAACATTCTACGCCTAACCTCAGTAATACAACTTAGAAAGAGAGACAGAACGGAAACACCAGTAGTCAAAGACAGCTGATCTCATCAAGCATTTATACCTTCGATGGCCAAATCTCACAGCCACAAAGGAGGACAGGGGGAACTGTTGTGCGGTACTCACGTCGTTCGAACTATAGCTGGACATCACACATACACAAGAGCAAGTTGGCAAATGCCAAACGATATTTTCGTATCCGTGCTGAGATTTCGTCAACAATCTGCCCATTAGAGCTGATACAACCTCCCAAATAAATGAAGTGATCAACAGGCTTAAATACGTCACTGTCTACCACTTGGAATTGGTGCAAACCAGTCCTGTAGCATCACCTTCTATTTGACAGAGGCGAACCACATGCCAAACACACAGATATCTAATCGAGGTGTTAAGAAGAGTCTGCATATTATCAGCGTCTCCCTTAAGGAGGAAAATACCACCCATATACCGTAAGTTGACGTAAGTGTCCCCTGGTAACAAGTCAATCCCTAAGTCGCTCAAGTCAGCATATTGATGATGAAATGGAACAAAAACGGAGACACTGGGCATGTCTGACGGACATCACTGGTTATCATCAATTCAGGCAACTACTCTCCATAAGCTCTTACACGGTTGTATGCGTTTGAGTAAAGTCCATTGACAAATGTGATATACTTTCTTGGTGCCCCTTCACGACCATATATTGCAATAGCACCTCTCGGTCAACGGAGTGAAACCCCTACTTAAGGTCACGAAGTACGACAAATGTTGGACGTGTGTTCCAGAATCTGTCGAGGGGTGAATATGTGATCAACACACACCCCTCCTGAACTAGTCTGCCTGCTTTACTGGAACACCGCTCAGTCTATGCATGATTATTGAACCTAGAACTTTAGATACTATACAAGTCAAGCTTATCCCCCTATGGTCGACACAGAAAGACTTCTCTCCCTTCTTGTAAAATTGCACAATAAACGATTTACGCTGTTCTTACAGGTCTATCTCAGATTCCCGAACATTACCTGATGCCTTAAGTGAACCAGAGAGCAATTCATCACTACCATTTCTAAACATATCTGGAGTTATTTCATGTCCCGTTACCTTGCTTCGTTTCAGATTCAGACGGTTTTCGTAATCTTAATTACAGACCGAAGGCCAATGTCAACACCCCACCCAGGTGGGTGTCAAATACTGGATAAGTTGGGCATGGTTGTAGGTCAGTCAATTTGCTCTTAGGAAGTGTCCTGTGATGTGCCACTCTTCTATTATGAGGTAATTAAAGTGCCGTTTTTCTCGGAGGTTGTCCCACTTATCACCCGTCTCCTAAATAGGTCTTTGGTGTAACCTATCACCACTGCCTTTTCAATTCCTTCCACTTTTGTTACCCACCACTATTCACAGTCGCTGAGGCTACTTGGTTAACTTGCACCTTGGAAACTTTCTCTTATCGTCATGTTTGGGATCCGTTTGAATCAGTCCTCTTCCATCTACCGATTTAGATGAAGCAGCATAAATTCACAGTCACTTACTAACCTTTAGTTTCAGGTTATAAACAGTTTTACTAGTTGTCTCAGTGTTAACTTCTTCAGTTAGGAAAAGTGCTATCTCAGTATACTACCATATTCAAGAAAGCATCCTTGAATAAAAGTAGAAGAGTCAAGGAAACATATCTAACAATGGTCACGTATTATCATCAAATTACATGTCAGTTGACCATAGCATCAATAAGATGACACAGTTATCGCATATGGCGTTATTATTGAGTCTTTAGGTTATTCTTTTGCTCAGTACGCAGTATTATAACTTACCTAATAGCAATATCCGAAATAATTCAAAATAACCATCCGCAATCGGTATGTAATCTTGCATCGCTGCGTGGTATATCAAATTACTTGCTGCATTATATAATTATGGACTAGATTTTAATACGCAGTACACATTGGCATTGATGTATGCCCTCCAAAAGTTCACGTTTGAAAAACAATTTAACAACAGCAGTTAGAAATCACACATGCTTATCAAAACTTTCAGACATATAGACCACTGTGAACTAGAAAAAAGTTTTGATCAAAAGTACGTATATTACATATACTGATTCCGTTAGTTAGCCAAATGCATTTAATTTGTACAGTTTGGACCATCTAATGGCTGAACACGCTCTGGCATTCTGAATAAGGAATCAGTAGAGGGTAAAGTGTGGTTTGTTCACCTTTCTCAATATCTAATCAACTACCAACAATGGGCTTTAGACCTAAACACCTCCCCACGTATTTCGGTTTGAGAGACTTGATAGTATCATCAGCCTATACACAATAAAAGTGACTCCTTGTCTGGTATGTAGAAACGTACAGATTAGTGCGTTTCGTGGCCACTTTACACGTCAAGTTTCTTATTCCTGCAATAGTATTTAACAAAAACAACTGGATAACGTTATAGAACCAGGTTGACTTGCTAAAGTTAATATCAGTTTGCAAAGTTAACCAATAGCGAAAACAAAATAGAAAACTGAACACCTTCCTGTATGTCGCCCGTCGTGTGCTTGAAGGCAAACATCACAAAATATCACTAGTGGCTCAACGTACTCAATTCTAAAAATTTACTTCAAGCTAAAAAAGTAATTACGACGCTCTTCAAAACCTCACTACTTTTCGGTAGGTTTCAACTGTAGGTCTTTTGATGGCTTTAATAGACTCCCTAATCCTTCCACACAGTTAACTGAAGATTGACACTTATCACACGGCACACACAATTTACAGGTAGTCTTCCTACACACAAAATACCGCATCCCCCTTTCCTGGCTTCGTTGATTCGGAGTTTAGCCACTTTACGAAGAATAAAAATATCTGATTATTTAAATGAACAGCACTTTTACACATTAGTGGAAGAAAAGCTTTACTGGCAAAAGAGTGGGGCAACACTTCTTAATTTGAGTGGCAGGCCTACTCGGATTTTAAGCACAGCTCCATAACAAAGGCCAATTTTGAGATAAGGCTAAAAAGGTGATTACTTCGGTCTAAAAACGTTCACATTTGTATGCAATCGGCAACAAGGCACGTTTATTTTGTGAATGTCGACGACAACATACTTGGCCGCTAAAACGTCAAAAGACGAGGTGAATGCAGGATCCGTAGCCAATAGGTTAATAGTCAAACACCTGCAGTTATAAACCACAACCTATCTACTGGACGAATTTGCCATTACAGTGATGCACAACGTAAGAAAAATTGCGATAGGCCTGTGATAAGTTAGCCAAAAAGAAAAACTTTTGTGAGTTACGCCTATGCTCCCAAAAAGATCTTCTGTTGACTAAGCGAAAATATTATTAGGTAAAGAAAGTTTGCAAAATATATAGTGCTAATATAACTCATACAACTATGAATACATAGGATATAACTCGGCAAAGTTAGACTGCTGCTGCACCAGATATAATTTCAGTAAGTTCACGCGTGATCGCTGCCTGTCGCGTCCGGTTGAAGCTGAGTGTAAGCCTATCAATCATTTCGCCTAAACAGGATGAAAGGAGAAAAAATTAAAATTACCTGCATTCTTCGTAGCAGAATCCATAGCAGTCATTCGGGCTGACTGTTCACTAGCAGTAGCTTCTTTCAGTGCAGAGAATATTAGCGATGTTAAGAGGAACTCATTGTAGTTTTGCAGAACTTCATCATCTACTGAATCATAAATAGAAACATTTTGAGAAGAGCTTAGTCCTTCTATGCTCAAGAGAGGCTGCATGGTGGGTATGTACGAAACAACTGTCCTACAAAACGTTTACACAGAAACAACAATTACTTGAATGTATTGTAAAACATTATTGCCTTATTAAATTTGTAATCGGTTGAAATTATAGCTTGAGCTATCATTGATGCATCTTCAAAAGTTGGCGCTTTCTTACCAACCTCGTTAACTGTCATCAAAAACATATCACGATACTGTCGTAGCATCATTGCACGAGATTTGTCCCCAACTAGAACCAACTTGCAAGTTTTCTCTAACTCCGTACTATTACGTATCTTTGTCCTGATCGCCTTCACAACGCTACTATTAGCCGCACCGCATAGTCCTCTATCGGAAGTTATGGCGATAATAAGGTCGTTTACGGCGGGTTCAATCGGCTCTGCAATCAGCTCTGCAGTTTTGTAAAAAGCTTCAACAGTTAAAGAAACTTGTAATATGTACCTCTTGCTCCTTGACCATAAGGTCTGGCTGACTTCAGGTCCCGTTCAGCTCTAGCAAACTTCGAAGCTGATACCATTTTCATTGATGCCGTAATTTTTTGGATGTTCTTCACAGATTTTAATCTTACTGCGATATCTTTCAAAGTAGCCATAGAACATGATTGCTGACCAAAAATGGGAACTATGCATTTCGCCGCAAATAACATCGCGCCAAGAAGATTTACATATGACCTGAAAATTGTCATGTGTTTGACTGATTAAAACGCGTCCATACGTGTCTGTTTATTAGTAATGATGACAGCATAAGTGTAAACTGAATTACTGTGGTAGGTAGAAGTATTATCAATACTATTATTCGCTTAATGCCTTCCGAGCTAGCATAGGATCTCAGCGTTACACATTCACTGCTAAAGGCTCTGTTCTATCACATTCAACTGGGTCTAGAATCTTTCATTTCCTCTTCACATTATCCGCATGTCACTCTTGAACTCGCCACTCGTTACGTTCCGCCTGGCTCATATTAAGTGACTGCCATATAATATCATTTGAAGTTCTAGGCACATTTCGGATCGGTTGTTCCTTCCTCCCATACGTTCTCTAGGCAAGGTGATATCGGCTACTTAGCTGCCTACAAGAGTCCCGCACTGCATGTCCTTTCTGGTCGTCCATCTCATACTCGGAATCGAGTGAGTGCAAACGTTGATCAGTGCCTGCGGCCGACTGAAAGTGCCACTTTGACGAGCCTGTCAAGTCTCCAAACTATATTGAAGCTCTGTATTAATTAAAACTGATATTATAACTTCTGATCTTGTTCCTTGTGCTGGGTTCTGTTGACCTCTGCACTTTATTCCAATTACTGGACACGCGTCAATCTTGCTTTATTGACCCTATCCTGCCTATCTTTGACATCCAGATACGTTCCACCTCTCAAGTCGAAACGATACTGCCTAGGTCGTTTAAATGCAAAAGAAGACACTCGTAGTTATCCTTAATTGATGGCAGTCACCGTTTGGTATTCCTGGTCATCGGGAATCATAGCCATTTCCGGCTTCTCAGTCCTTATCAAAGTCTTGTTTTCGTAGGCTCTACCGCATACTAGTTGGTCTTCGTATGTAAATGATCGGTTTTGTAATACATGAGGTGTGAGTCATCCCTGAAATTGTATTAACGCAATTTATATTGAAGGCAATAGTTTACCAGCAGCTTGGCTTTAGAATCAACTTTATGGCCATATATATCTAGCTTATGAATCCTTCACTCCGTTAAAATGGGTGAGAAAAATACCTTCATTACCCAGTTTCGTCCTCGAGAAAAATATGAAATCGCGACCACTTTACAGATATAGTTATTTTCCATCACTCATTATACTCAGACATACCTACGATACATGCGCGTCTCATAAGCTATTTGGATCCTATAGGCAAGAGCAAACATCGAACTCACAATCGGGCAATACAAAGCCACTAGTGAAACAAGAGAAGTCAAGGATTAATTACAGTAGGATATGTTTGAACTTCAAAAGGCCACAGCAAAGGACCGCAAAATTTGATCATTGAGCCGACGTTTTACGTCTTCCAAAAGGCTGTTTAATCCTGGGTGACCGGTCTCAATTAGTGAAATTCTCAAATTTTCATTTATTATCTATTCCCATATGAAGTGGAGTGATCCGAATAGTGTGCCAGGGCCATTACCTTTCTTAATAAACATTAACGATCTCCCCAGTATTCTTCAGCGTGCTATACCGTTTCTGTTTGCTAATGACTCATATACTAAATACACCTTCCCTCACCCGATCCTGAGTAGAGGGTTCACACGAATTCAAGAAGACTTGAGTGAGCTATGTAATTGTAAGGATATCTGGAGACTTCCATTAGGTACCACTACCTGTGGAGCCAAAACTTATATTGATATGAAATAAATAAACCTATTGTACAGATCATTCGAGGTAATTCGGTCAGCCCAACGTATCTAAATGTTCTCGCGCTCCGCTGTCCACCATATGTTCCTGTCTAGTAGGAGAGTCAACTGTGAAAGTAGACAACCTTGATTTCTTTTGTCTTCATTTCGTAGTCTTTAAGAAGATTTTCTTTGTGTGTCCCTTCTCATGTGGTATTATAAAATAGCTGTTTAACAAGGTCTTCAGAAGTTCGCAGCATGCCGGCGTATTGCAGGAACCTCCAGGCTGTCCCCTGCTTAAAGTATGCTAAGGCGGTGGCCAAGTCAATGAAGCTGGGCAAGTTGGTTGACTGCCATTCAAGACTATGTTTGATGATGCACAATAATTCAGCCTGGCCCATGTATGACACATTTTTCCAAATCCAGCTTGTTCCGGACAAAGTGTACCACCGAAGGCATCTTGTAGTCTTGCCAGATTGATCCGGCTAACTGTTTAGATTATTTTGGACAGGAGAGCATTCCTAGCCAGTTCTTACTTAGACTTAAGTAACCCCGTATACAGTTCTGACTAGGAAGTTCTTCTCCGGTCGGCACCTAAACTCCCTTATCCGACAACTTATATGCTGATGGAGTGAGTTTTTCCGATGAGGTCGATTTCTAACGCTTCTGGGTGGATTCCATCTCATCCAACTGCCCATTCGGCTTTAAGTAGCTTTAAGATCAGCTAAACATATCATTCAGTACGATAACTGATGTTCACTGTAAGCGTTACAATTTTCAGCAGGTGGAGAGCATTGTACCACTTCGTTCAACCTGCAACTGTTCCAGGAATACCACCACCAACAGCACGCACAGAATTACCAATAGATACCAATCCTTTGACGAAGGGTGAACTTCTGAGTGCGATCAAGCTACTGGAGTCCGGTCAAGAGGGCAACAGAACCAGATGGAATTCCCCCACGCCGAAGCACTGAAAGCGGACCCAGAGACTGTAGCAGATATGCTTACACCATTATTGCAAAGGGTTTGGAAAGGAGGAAAGGTGCCTACTGATTGGAAGAAAGACTGGCTGGAACAATGTTCTTGTCCACGCCAAGTGAAATATTAAGTCGTATCATCCTGGAGAGAGTAAAAGATGCGCTGAATGCAGAACTCCACCAGCCTCCGAGAAGCCGGATTCAGGAAAGGCAAATCATGTGCTGATCAAATTGCAATTCTATGCGCCACCATCGAAAAAACCATAGAATAGCAGTCAAATATCTACCTCAACTTTATCGGCTTCGGAAAGGCCTTCGACAGACAGCGTTCACCGAGAAGTAATTTGGAAACCGCTTCAACAATACGCATGCAGTACCCAAATTTTTATCAACCTATATGACAGTGTCACGTGTCAGGTGATCCACAAGGGGAAACTCAGTGAGGCGTTCGAAATTAATACAGGAGTAAGGCAAGCTGGCCGCCTATTATCACCAACGATGATATTCCTAACTGTGGTGGACTGGATTATGAGTCAGAATATGCGTTGGGGGTGAGAAGACACGAATACGTTGGACCGACAAGAAGACTTTAGGAGGTCTGGATTTCGCGCGTGGATGATTTGTGTTTAATGTCCCACAAACGTGAAGACTCGGAGGCGAAGACCGACAAACTGGCGGAAGAGGCTAGCAGCAAAACCAGGACTCCAGGTGAACGTAGAGAAGGTGGGGACGGAGGTGATAAACCAACCAACCAACAAAAACAGCAACAGCAACAACCACCACCAATCACCATTAGTGGGAGAGATTTGACAGAGGCTACTTCCTTCACTTATCTGGCCAGGAAGCATGGTTCCAACCACAGGCGGATGGCACGAATGAAGATATCAAGACCAGCCAGTGGGAATCGAAAAGGCAAGATACGCTTTCATCAACGTGAGATCAGTTTGGAAATTTTCTGCACCCTGTCAGCATAAATAACAAGATTCAGATTTTCAACACAAATGCGAAGTCAGTCGTTTCTTTTGTACGGGTCAGAAACCTGAACTGCGTGTTACGGAAAGGATTTCCAACAAGTTATAGACTTTTATCAACAGCTGCCACCTCCACTGGTTCCACAATAAAGATCAAATGGCCGGCTGGCCAGAAAGAACTAGCAGCAAGAAACTATGTCTTGGAACAAACCAACCAAGAGTCGATCGCTCGACGAATATGCAAGAGAAAATGAAGATGGCCCAGGCATACGTTGAGGAGGGCATCGAATGACATCGCATGCAGTACAGGCCATCGCTCGAGTGGAATCCCAATGGGAAACGATGAGTGGTTCGCCGGCGCAAGTGTGATATGGAGGAGATCGTGTGAAGAGGAGATGAGAGGTTATGGACAATCGTGGGCTCAACTGTAGAGGACAGCAGAAAACAGAAGAAAGTGGAGATGTGATGTTGAAATCCTGTTTTTGCACTCGGAATTCTATTTATATTTTATTCTTTCATTGTTTGTTATTAGCTCAATTTCAGAATTTTGGTTACATCTCTTGGTATTATTCGCTTCGCGTACTATAAGAGGCTTTTCGATAGGTCAAAACAGGAACATTGGGATGTCCGCATATTCATATAGGTCGGGAAACTTTTGTTGGTAACTGAGTGTAACTAAATAGTGGATTTACGTGGTTATTTTGTATAAGGCGCTACGTATAGGTTTTTGTGGTATTGGTGATTATATTTGCGTATTTCTTTTGCATGGTTACGGGAAACTAGTATATCACTTCAGAAAACCGGAATATTAGGAAGTCTGGCCACTCTCGATCACGCAGATTGCCTCTAAAACCATAAATTCGTGTTGTAAAGACTAGTTTTAACTGCATTCGACAGGGATGACCGGTAGGGAAATTTGTTGGACACACTACTGAAACTTGAAGTGATGAAGCAACAGTTGTTTAGAGCAGCAGACCTATAACTATTCTGCAAGGTATCCAAACCCACAGCTAAATACCAACTGAAATTTGTATGAAATTTTTATACGCCTCGCGAATCAATAGTTTAACATCCTACGACTTGCATAAAATTGAAAGTATGTAATACTTTTCATGATGTTGCTGTCAGTATCCTCCACAAACATTTGGTTGTTATGTCTCCCCCCAGTCATATCTATTCCATGCGCTTACATTGGACTTCAGATTCAGATGTATTTGCTAAGAATCGAATGCTTGGAACCTATGTTTATCCTTCTCTAGGAAATTTCTGTGGTTGGCCGAACCCTTCACGAAATAATTATTTGACGTTTTAGGCACCACTTCTGGGAGTCGGTCGCAAGAGTTTATGACTCTGTTTGAGAACCAGTACTCAACACCAATATGATATCTTGTTGAATTTTGCACTATCCTGCTATGTGTTCTAAAGTGTTCCAGCTTGGTCGGAAAGAAAAGAGAGGATAGTTCAGATACGTAGTTATAATTAAAAATTTTAAACATCGTGGTTAAATCTCCTCTCTGTATACGGTATGACAGGGAGAAGGAATTTATACTGTGTAGTCTTTCCTCGTACGATAAAATAGTCATGCCGATTATCATAAGTTCTGCTTTCCTTTGAACACTTTCTAGAATATATGAGTCCCCTTTAAGACAAGTACTGGCTACCTGGGTACACTTTTCTAGTTTTGACCTCACCAGAGTAGTATATTTGGAGGTGAACATATCTCCGGTGATTCTATTAAAGGCTCTGCGAATAGCCCATAGGTATCTGGAACTACGTGCGGCCACCGCGTAACAGTGTGCTGTAGTCTTAAACCGTGACTAACTGACACCTAAATCCAAATGAGTCTGAACTGATGGGAGTGTTATTCCATATAGTTCGTAGGAGCTGATGCTTGTTTGTCCGATGCGCATGGCAGCACATTTTGCTACAGTGATTGGGAGCATCCATTCTCAGGACCACTCTGACAAGTTTTTGAGGTCCCTTTGCAACGTGAGAGTATTACTGTTGCCCTTCAGCTCTCTCCAGATTTTTAAATCTGCGTATAGGACCATGTGAGAATCGGTGAGCAGAGATAACTCATTGATATACAAAATAAATAGGAGAGGTCCAACTGCCGTGCCTTGTGACACTCCGCTACGCACTTCTGTCCAAGAGGAGAGTTTCGTGTTAATCCTAACCCTCTGCCTCCTATCTATGAGGAATTTACTAAGCCAGTTTAGTAACCTGCCTTTGATACCAAGACTTTCCAACTTCATGAGTAGTCTCTTGTGAGAAACTTTATCGAAAGCTTTGCTTAAGTCAATGAAGACGAAGCCAACGGGTATTTTGTTGTCCCTTGTTTTGACCTGGCTTTCTCTTGAAGTGAGGATATTTGACATGCATGAGAGGTTTCCTCGGAAACCGTGCTGTGCTCTGGATAACAAATTGTTATTTTCCAGATATACCATAATGATTCTTTCCAGTATCTTGATTAAATTGCTGGTAAGACTAATAGGCCTGTAATTTGAAGGGCTTTGTTTTTATCCTTCTTTGTGGATGGATGGATGACGCGGTAACAGTCCATTTAGGAGAGATAGCTTGAAAATCGGGGTCAATAGGCCGGCTATGTGAGCTGAAAGCTCCTTGAGAAGCCTTAGATGAAGATTATCAGGACCCATCGGTTCCCCTGCATCTAGTTTCATTAGGCAGTTGAGCACGATGTCTTGGTCGACGTCAATGGAATCTATCCCATGTTCTCCTGATGCAGTCAGAGCTGATTCTATAGGGAGTAACAACTCCTGTGTAAAGACTCGGGAGAAGTAGTCTGCCATTGCTTCTGTTTTTTTCTTAATCTTCGATTGTGTCATTGTCAATAGTCAGGTTTGGAACACCATTGGATATTTTATTCCTGAAGTTTATGTGTTAGAAAGTTTTCTTAGGTTTTGCTTTTTAAGTCCCTTCTCTGTTTTGTCCACCGTTGTGTGCTACATTGAATGCGGCGAATGGAACTCCTGCACTTCTGTGAAAAGTTTTATGCTGATAGTCACTCAGCCAGATGGTTTAAATTACAATCTAAGGGAAGCTTTTTAGGGAACGTGATTTTATTTAATGTGAATTAAACTTGGTATGGTATGGGCTCTGAGAGATGCACCACACAAGATAATAAAATATAAATGTAAGGAATGGAAAAGTAAAATAATTTAACATCGAAAATGAGACAAGTGAACACATTTATTATGAAGATTCAAAAGGACATCGGTTACCCATTGTATCACTTCCAGAACCACAAAAAAGGAGGGGATTACATTATGCTGGTCATCGACTTCGTTTCTAAACCCCATCTAACAACGTTTCGAGCTATATTATCTCTCGGACTTCACCTGTGGAATCTTGATGAACCAGTTCGCACTAATCTGAAAGATATCCTTCGCCACATCTTGAGGTAATCACCGGTTTTTAAAACCATTTCCAGCGTCAGTAAAATGGTTAGGTGTATGAAAGCCGCTAAAATGACTTTAGTACAACATGTTCCAGCCACTAAAGCTGGGGTTGCATGAAAACACGAATTATTAAACTATGATCCCCACCCTTTCTAAACACACATCATCAAACCTACTTACGTAGAGATGCTTGTGAATGCACGTGATTCTGTAATTATTATGATAATCGGACACGCACGTTCAGTGCTGATTTTAAGCTCAGGAACACTAGTTTGCACAAACCCAGTACAAGAGTGTGCAAATCGAAATGTTGTAGGTCACTTACACTAACATTATGAAGGCACCAGTGGTGATGCAGGTTAGTGTATGACTGTTGTTTTTTCTATAAGATCAGAATTTTCATCCATCTTTACACCACCCAACATGTCAGCAGGTATTTAGATGAAGCATCCTCAATCATATACCATATTTTGGAGAATGCTGAGCATTTTCTGTTAATTAGATATATCATTATTGTCTTTGTATTTTTAATATATATTCTTGTGCTTTGAAGTTTTTGTAGCAGGTTGGTTGGTTTTGTGGTGTAGGGTCTCTAGCCCCACGCCAAACCCTCCCTCTTTACCCGGGCTTGGGACCGGTTAGTAAACTAGGCGAGGTTAATTGGGTATATCACATGATGACCAATTCGTTAAGAGTTAATATCTTACTACACCTCGTTGTTTATACTAGTAATACCCAAGGCGTTTCACTGTCACACGTCTTATACTATGAAGCACTACATATAATTTTTATTAGCTGTGTATGGCTATGAAGTTTTCTGCAAAAAACCATTTACTATCTTAAATTCAATAATTTTACAATTTGTAGTAGAAACTATTTCAATAATATCATACTAAAAAATAGTCAATTTTATTTTTAGATTTAAATAATGACTACAGCAGGAAGACCAACATGGGATACTGCTAAAGGCGGTAGAGGAAAATGGGAAGGGGATTTAAGTGCCTTATCAAAACAGTACTCTGTTCGTGACTTACCGGCGCATACAAAGTTAAAACTCCGTCAAGAAGGCCAAGGAAGACCTGAAGATGTTCAAGGCAAAGATTTTAAACGTGCTTTGGAAGAGAAAGAGAAACGATTGGCTCAAGAAAAATCCAGTAAAAGTAAGTTTAATAAAACAAGCTGGGGAAAAAATAAACGTGCACGTTTGCAGGATGCTGCATTTGAAAACTAATTCTTGCCTTATACATGGCCTATTTCCCTTGAAATAACAAGATTAAACTATGTAGAATAAGAGACTTTATTATACACCAAAAAATCAGGCCTACCAACTTATTAGTTAGAACTGTTAGTCATAATGAAGATTTATTTTATCTAAGGTATTTGAAATTGCTTAAATCGATGTTCAGAAATTTCGGGTCATACTTCACTGTTTCATTACCAATTTACAGCCAAAACGCCTAAGCCCATATTGGTCCTAAGTCTAAGTGCGGAACCAACCATTTTGATAGTCTCTATATATCTATCTAACGGAAATACTTTAGTGAAGATGTGGCGCATTGACTCAAGCATTACTCGACTTTCAGTCAATGGGTCTTGGGTTTGAGTCCCTCTCCAACTACTACAGCTTGAGAAACTGGATAGTATCATAAGCCCTACACAATAAGTGTGCCTTATAGCCCAGAGCTGGGTAATTGAGATTTAGCTAATTAACTATCTTTGGAAATACTTCGCCAACGTATTTCATTTCATTTAAGGGATTTTGGGTGCACATCAATAACTGAGAAGTGAAAAGAAAACTCTGTCAATTCTATTGTTGTCTACAACAAAGCTGATAAAAAAGTGACTTGCTACTATGCTCTTAATAAGGTCATGTGTGTGTACGTCTGTTTTGTTCAGTAAATATTTTTTAATATTTTGATTATAGCTTGAAACCATACAGTACTTTCGGTACAAGTATGGAATTTTCAGCATGTGATATCGGTAGTCCAAATTTTGCAGGCCAACCATAGATATCAGGTGTGCGTCGGCAGAGGATCGAACTCCGGACCATGTGCATGGTCGGCGAGAGTTGTAACCACTGTGCTACCGACGCATAAAACTATAGTGAGCAAGAATGCGTGTAAAAAAATAGTAACATGAAAACAAAACACGCAGGTTTAACGAATATAGATCACACTGTGAGGACAAATTTGAGTCATATCATCATCCATAGTCTCCAAACGTTGATTCTTAGCGTATTGAAGATCCCAACACCAAGCAGTTTACACCTCTCTCTACGTGGCCCAAATCAACAGTCATGGATTGTTACCAGGTTTTGGGTTTAACTACTGTCAGTGTACTCGTGTTTTCTATTGACTACCTATTTAACACACCTGAATGGTACACTTATAAAGCTGATTTGGATTACAATCTCAAATTTTTTTCAAGCCACAGGCACCTTTTATGGATAAAAGTGCCAATGAGAATGAAATTTGGGTCAACCAGTGTTCCTTATGGTGCATGACACCAAATAAAATAGTATTATTTATTTATTTATTCTTTTGCATTCTGAGTGGAACACGGGGCCTCAGACTTCTTGAGCTTTAAAGTTTCGGTAGCAGTGGTTTTGTTTTCACGAGGTAGTATTACCAGCCCCACGCCCAACTCCCCGTCTTTACCAGGTCCACTACCATCTAGGCCAGGTTTAAGGGTGTGTCTGTCGGAGGTCGAACCCCAGACTACATGCGTAGTTAGCAGTCATTCTACCACCCCATTATCGACGCCAGTTGGTAGGTTGGTTTTAATAGGTATTTAAGAGTAGTATAGCTATAATTTCTGTCAATATTGGAATACTGTTTATGAAGTATCCACAATTATTAGTGTTATTTACTAGTTAGTTAATTTTTTCCCACTGTTATTTTTATCCCTTCTACAATAATCTGACTTAGCATCAACAAATGCTGTCAGTCAACAATCAGCAATTACTAGTGCTAAACGAACTAGTTCTGCTGCTATAATGCCATCAATGGATAGTAATACTATTGGCAGTATAAAGCGTCTTCGACCTGAAACAACCAATAATGTACCAACAAGTAACTTAGACGCTGATGATCCATGGGATGAAGACTATGATGAAGATCAAGACGATGTAGTTAATGTTAATAAGACAAAAACAAAGAATAAAGTTAAAAATCTATCTGAAGATAACTACAATCAAGATGATGATGGTGGTGATCATAAAACCAATGATGATGACGATAACGATGACACAGATGAGATGATGACGACGACGAGGAAGAAGACGAAGAAATGCTTCTAGCTGAATTAGCCAAAATAAAACGTGAAAGAGCTGAAGAGGCGGCTCGTTTGGCTGCTGAAAGAAAAGCAGCCGAAGAAACTATACGTATGGAAAATATTCTTAAGGGAAATCCTCTTTTAAATTCGGCTAATTCTTCAGGTAAGCATTTTCAAGTTGTATTGCCATTATTATTATTGTTCCCTTGGGTTCCTAGTGGAACATAGGGCTTCAACCGCACGTCTCCACTTGCTTCTGTCTTCTGATGTACTTTTCACCTGCATCCATGTTAGTCCATACTCTTTCAACTCCTCTTCAAACGATATCCTCCATGTCACCCAGCGGCCTCCTTAGCGAGTGTCCAGTCCATCTCCATTTTCTCCTGCATATTTGTTGATTGGCGATTGGTTCTTGTTTTGTTTATTCCCATAGTTGGTGATTCTTTCCTGCCCGGCCATCTGATCTTCAGCATAGAGCGAAGACAGTTGTTGGTTGATAAAGGTCTGCAACAGGCTGTTAGAAATATTCTTTGTGACCCGCCCACCAAGTTTATGATCCGCAGCCTCCAAAGCCTCAGGATGGTCGGGGGTGGGTGCCTTGCGCTGCGGGTTGGCCACCCCTCCGCACACCTCTTGAAATGCTCCCATATGACCGGGCGTCTTACATAGCCTCTCCTGAGGAAGTCCTACTCACTGCCTTCACGTGGCGGAGGTGTTTCTCACCAAAGTGAGAGGGCGAAAGCGGATGCCTGGCGCTCTCCACCGGGTTGACTGTCCATTGGATGACAGTCTAGGGGAGATGGCTAAACCCTGATTCCAAACCTCCAACGATTGGCGTATGAAGCTCACTGGAGCTCACCGGCAGACGTATGGACAAAGGGCTTGTTGGATGTCCTGGATGTCTGGCCCCATTCAAAAAGGCGTATGAACCGAACTCCGGTCATCGGCTGCCAATGGATAGTGGACTCCTTACTCCACTCCTACTGCCTTGTAGGTCACACTTGGCTGTGTAAAGGCTAGAGCTGCACTCTCAAACAAAAGGCCGAGCGATTCTGGGGACATCACTCGTACCAAATTCCCATGAAACTTCATGAACTCTCTTACAAATTGCCGCGCCTGGGCAGCGATGATTCCAGACGTTCATGAAGCCGGCTCATCCTCCCGTAGGAGATAGCCGAAGTAAAGTAAAGTAAAGTAAATAGAAGTACTGACTGGCTTGACCTTTGTATTGAAAATCCGACTGGATTTTGTTGTTGATGCTGAATGACAAAGATTTACAGATTGATTGCGGGTTGATGAATGTGTTTCTCGCTTTCCCGATTCTCGATTTGACATCCTCGTCCGTTCCTCTTGTAGTTGAGACAATGCTCCCTAGATAAGTAAATTGTATTGCCATATATATATATATATATATATATATATATATATATCACATGAATTATACATTGTATTTCTATAAATTTCATCCCTATTGCCAACTACTTAAGTAGATACATATACCAGCTAAGCAAACCTGGCTGATAGCTGCTGCCTTGACATAGCGGTGCGACTTGCATACCATAACGACCCGATGAGTTACATTGCCTGGAACTAATGTTCCTGTAGGTCCTACCATACCAGAAAGATCGTTTGGATAGCCGGCAGACTTAAGTTACCAACGTAACTTAAGTCATTTATACTATTATGGGGGTCTGTGGGTAAAATTGTACTACTGGGGAGTAGGTATGTAACAGCAGTAACCATCAGCCTAGCTATTCTATCACTCCGAGCTGAGGAAAAGGGCTTAGAAAAGGTCGACCCCTCAAAATTGTACATCTGAACTTACCTTGCAGTGATTCATAGCCGGTGGTATGATCTTAATATAGACACAACTCCTAGAACCCATTTCAAATAGACCATGTGTGACCGATATCAAGCAGTTGTTTCTTGGGCTGTATGGTCATGCAACATTACTGCTCATTCTATTCCAGACACTAAGAAGAAATCAAATTCCACGGTGTGTGCAGTCGGGAATTAATAACCGCCCATACACTTTCCTCGTGATCACGCACCTTCACGCCTATCACTTTCATCATCTTGCTTTCTTTCTGCTTTTAATATTATATGCCACAGGCAGTCGAATTCTATTAAAAAGCTACATATTTTGAAGTTGAAAGTAGTCACACTTATGTATAAGGGAAGTGCTAGTTAATAATTCAGTGCAATTTGCATAACATCTTTAAAACAACTCATTATACTAACCAGTTTTTCAGACTGAAATGCATATAGTCAACTTCTAACTTATTACTGTTCGCAGTTCTACTTATGTTGAAAATCGATGATTGTAGAAACCTATGATATGCCATACTAGTGCAAATGTATTCACTTTGTATCATTTCCAATAGTTTCGCTAAATGTCATCAGTTAAAAAACTACTGAAGAACCAGGAATTACTTGGTAGTCGTTTCTTCCTAGCCTGGGACTCTTCATCAGGGATTTGAAACCAAGATCTTCTGGTTGCAAGTCGAGCCCTTAGACCATTCAGCCACTGGGACCCTATCCAATAGCCCATCCCGGCCGATAACTGCTTCCTAGTCGTGGTGGTCGGGCTTGAATACCGTAATGACCCAACATGCTAAACTGACTGGGACTCTGTCCCTGCAGGTCCTACCATGTCAGGAAGGTTGTTTGGATAGCAGTTAAACTAAAAGCAGTTACCATGGGGTGCATGAGCTCGAGTATCCAATCGGATCAAATGGCGTATGAACCCATATGGGTTACCGGCAACCATGGGAATGTACCTCCTGACGCTGCTTTGCGGATTAGACTTCAAGTCAAAAGCTCGGGGGGGGTGATCCCTTAATAAAACCACCTGCTTCGGTCTGTGCCCCCGGGCAATATCTCAGCCCTCACACAATGAATTGAATGAAGCAAAAACAATCAATGAAACTTATCGCGTGCTATTACACGTGTTGCAATTTCCTTCTTTCTTCCCTTCCAGATGGAGTTCTTTATCCGTTCTCTACTTATATATATATATATATATTTCTCTTCTTTCTTTTTTTCTTTTGATCTATGTTGTTTTATTATTATTGTGTGGCGCATCCTTCTTGGTGCCATATTGTACCAAGTTTTTACGCGTTTAAATAAATATATAATAAATAAATACAATAGCCCATGAATTCGAAATCCTGCCAGTCCGTAATATGTAGCGCTGCCGCCAGCCAATTTCTAACCCCTGGAAACTAACACTTGAGATAATTAGTCTAATACCCACCAGGCAGGGGAGAAGAAAAACCCACAAGAGAACTAATACCCACTAGTGATTGACTGTATACAATAAGTTAATAGGAGTTCTAGTGAGAGTTCGTAACAAGCAATGTTTACCAAGTTAAGTAAAAGAACGGTTACTGACGTATGACATTACCTGGTGTTCGTGGTATATATCTTACGAATTGCCAGAAGTTGGAATTCACGGGCTATTGAATCAGGTCCCAACGGCTGAATGGTCGGTTTATAAGCTTACCTTGTAACAGAAAACTTCTGGGTTCTACCCCTGATGGAGTCATGAGCATGCACTATCGAAGAGCCTCGAACAAAGACGAAACAGTTCTCCAGCTGTTAGTAATGGTAAGCCTCTTTATTAACCGTAAAGTAATGATCTAGAACATACTCTGACATGACAACCTGATTAGTTGTATGACATCACTATCCTTTAGAATATTAAGTCATAAATAAACGAATTAAGAATTGTCCAATCAGATCATCTCGTCAGTGCATGCATAAATCATGACTTCAGGACTAACACCAGTACTCGCTGGTTTTCAATATTTCTCTAACTGAAGTCGAATTCATGATCAATCTTGCAATCAATTCTAATCCCCCTTGCAAACTAACACTTGAAAAGTCTATATATTATTTTCACTATTTTGGTGAACAGATCCAATAACTTTCTTCTTTCCTATTCTATTTGTTATTTTATTCTTATAGAATTCAAAGTGAAACGAAGATGGGATGATGATGTTGTATTTAAAAATTGTGCTCGAGGTGAAGTCGATCATGTGAAACGAGGTTTTGTCAATGATACACTACGTTCTGAATTTCATAAGAAATTTATGAAAAAATACATTCAGTAATAACACTAATGATAATAATATTAATAATGATAATGAACATTTATATACATATACATATTTATGGAATAACTAAAGTCCTGACTACTACTCTGTAAATAAAATCAATGAATTATTTTCATCACTTATTTGTGTTTCTTTGTTTTGAGTGTGTATATGTTTGTGTTTGAGGGTGTGGGTGGGCGCGTTTGTATTTGCACAGATGGTGTAGTTGAGTGAACCACTTTAATAATAATTAGTAATGATTTATGCATATGAATTTTACATTCTGATATAAAACTGTAGAAGAAAAGTTTTTCTTAGATGAAGTCCTCTGAAATGACTGTTACTTTGACTGAGTTGCAGGTGTTCCCAGCGTGTGTGTGTGTGTGTTGTGGCTCGTCAGCACATGTCTAGTATAACTTGAAGTCATGTATGCGCTAAATACTTTGTGAACTATTTGATTATTTATTTGTCAAGTCAAAATAGGAAAGAGAGTGAGAGTGTGTGTGTGAGTATGACCTCGTGTACTGACCTCAAAACCCATTTGAGCTAAGAGTTCCATTTTGATGATAATTGCGAGACGGCAAGTAATCCTTCTTTTTGTCTATGTGATTAGACGCACTGATCTCACCACCACCAACAACAACAACGAAAAAAAATTTTAAGAATTCATGCAGAGAAACAGTTACAAGTATCGTCCATTTGATGAAAATTATTCAAGTGTGACGATTCATAATTTTAATCCTACTCTTGTGTATATTGAACAATAATTCTTTATCAGTTATTGATTCGTTTATATGGCAATGTACATGATGTCGGGGTTGACATAGTATTCTTTTACTGGATGTCATTATATGAGCATTAAAAGTGTTGTATCAATTACTGAAGGTAGGATATCACAAAAGTTGTGCATTATCCTACCCACTTATTACCATCTTGTACACTCTTCAAATACTTGCACATTCATATAATAAACTTCTACTTGTTTCTCTGTTTTCATTCCCTATGGTATGAATTGTTTTCGCAAATGAATGTGTGATTAAACTGTTTAACATTTATTTTCTGTTAGTATATATCAAATACTTTTTTTCAGATGAAATTCATTTACTACTATTTACATTGTTGTGATTAGTGACTACTACTACTACTACTACTTTTATTACACATTGCACTTTGTGTAAGTGTTCATTATTACTATTATTTTTATTATTTGTTCCCGCTTATTTTAGAATATAAATAATAATAGTGTTGAATACAAATATCCTGACTTCTGTCTTCTCTCTGCGTGTGTTTTGTCTTCTAACTGTGGTACTAGTTAATGTGTGGAAATAGGAAATAACCCCTTCGGACTGACTAGTAGTGTAAATCACTTATTATGTTAATTCATAAGATAGGAGATAAGTCTTCATGTGATAATCATAATGAGATTAGTTTGACTAATATGTAGTATATCTAAGGCTGTAAATTTATGCGTAAACTGAGTGGTGGTGGTGCTTGGGTGAAACAAACTCGCGAAAACCAAGATGGCTTTAGACTACTAGGATGAGGGTACACTGATCATATCTTCACCCTTTAACAGATTCTGGAACATAGAGACATATTAACTGACGTTCAATACTTGTTATATTTTATTTATTTCTTTTTTACTTAAAGATGGCGTTTGATTCTGTCAACCAAGAGGTGTTGTGGCAATACTTAGCCGTGAATAGAGTACAGTCATCTGAAGTGATGTCAACCAGTGATTTCTTTCAAGGATGCCTACTTTTCCCATTTTCGTTTAGTTCCATCATAGATGTAATAATGGAATTATTCCTAACTGATTTTAACGACTGGCTTGTTATCAGGGTACAATCTTGTCGACTTAAAGTATATGGATGAAATTGTCTTTTGGGTGATGGCTGTGACCAAAATGCAGAGTCTTCTGTATCCTCTGGTTATAAATATTGGTAGGTTTGACATGCAATTTCCCCCTACCGATCATATGTAAGATAGTCATGGAGGATGTGTTTGCACTGTCTCCTAGTTTAAAGATAAGTTGTAAATGGATTTAGCGTGTCAACCACCTCACCTATTTGAAAATTTATAATAACCCTGGTGTAGTAATTGATGACAAAAGCTCAGCACGAATACAAAAGGGTTGTCTAACATTTACCTACTGACATGACTTCTGGCATAAATGTGATATCCAGCTATCGATCAAAGGACGTGTTTACTTTGCAACAGTTCTCTCTAGGTTGTGAAACATGACCGTTTAAGTGGAATATACGTAGGGGTTAGTTGTCTGTAACCAAAAATGTCTGCGTTCTATCGCTCGTGTTTAGTGCTACAATATGGTGAGTAATATTGAAGTTAGACGTAAAGTGTTAAGTAAGTAGGAAAAGGCAATTGATGAGATTATGAAGGAGAATTGGTTGAGATGGTTAGGACACGTGTTAGGCATGTTCAGCCACCGCCTTCCTTGTCGGGCAAAATTAATGATATATCGGAAAAAAGCGGTCTATTATCAGTCGATGAAGTCTTTAACAGTTGGTTTCAGCTAACCACGTAGGTCGTGCAAACTATCTGAATTAGGTCCTTGAAAGTTCAAGAACCAATCACTGGAAACTCTCGGTGATTTGACTCGAAATCGTTCTCAATAGCTCTGATGAATTCACTCTATGAGCTCCTAAATCCACCGAATTCTCTATATTCGTATTCTTTCTCCCGTTCATTATGGTTCTTTTGAATTTTTTCTCTGCCTTTGTGCGTTATGTGGTGTGTGGCAACTTGAACTACTCCAGTTTTCTGCAGACTTCAACGTTGAAAGTTCACTTTTATCTTCTGGTTCACCAGTATTCGGCTATTGCAAACTAAAATCATCATTCATACAAGAATAGAATTTGATCAATATAGCAAAATAGGGTTCTGTCCGTCCTGGAATATATAATTTTATTTGATAAAACACACTGATATAGTATCATTTACTAATGACTTCATCACCTCACTATATTGTCTGGGCATACACAAAACATCTTCCAATGTGATTGTCAAGAGAAGAAATCTGGTCAATCAGAGGCTCAATTCTCAAGCGCCTTGTTCTTACGCGTCGTTTTCCATCGATACAGAAAAAATTTTTTTAAAACAATATATGAGGTAAAACAAAGACGTTTAAATGGTTTTATGGTTACGTCTGTAGATTAAGTCATATTATAGTGACCCAAGAGAACGAATGATATTGACTTTGTCAATCGGATTATACTATGATAGTTTAGGTGAAAAACAGAATATTCTAGGGCTAAAACTCAAAAATAAGAGAGCAATAATGTAACGGTGAAAGACAAGAGACATAGTAAAGGAATGTCCATTTGCAACTTGGTATCTTTATATGGGCGAATTATCTACACCCTATCTCCAAATCACCATTTGCACAGATCTTCCGTGCTGTGCTGCTGCACACCTTTCTTTTTTATGTTTCTTTCTGCTCCTTTCACGTCTTGCATGAATCTCCGTATAATTTTTTTTAATTTTTTCCTTCACGTTCCCCAGTGGAACATAGGGCTTCAAGCTAGTGGCTTGAAGTTTCTGTAGTAGTGTTTATTTTTTACAGGATGGGGTTGCTAGCCTCATGCCCAACCCTTCCTCTTTACCAGCATTATTTCTGGCTTAGCGAGGTAAAGGAGTGCGTCGGTCAGGAATCGAACACCGGACCATGTGCATGGTCGGCGAGCGTCCTAACCGCTATACCACCGACGCACTATGCATCTCCGTAAGGCTGTATAATTTGCTTTATCTGATATCGAATCTAAACCCCTGCAACTTGATGTTTTTATACTACTGATAAGATTTATCAGTAGCACACGACACAATAGTGTTAAACAGGATGTCTTTCTGTGGAAAGTTGCAAGAGAAACTCCCAGTTTCTCATGCGAGTGTCGATATCCAGATAACTATTGGTCTAGAGTCAGGAAATGTAGTTTGAAGTTAGGGTTAAGAATTGTTGGCTACAGTTTAGTTCAAATGAAATCTCCCTAAATCCTAAACACAGTTCATTATATATCATTACCCCCAATTTATACATTAAACGTTCTATGCAAACCTCCCACTTACCACTTCACTCATTTGTGTACATGTTATCTTGGGTGACTATTCTGTAACTTTCCCTATCTGTGTACAGCCCTTGGTAAACCCAAGTAAAACCTTGAATTTTGTATAAAGAGTCACTATGTCCACTACCATAGCATTAAAAACAAGTCGGATTACATACAAGAACAAAAGCTTCCTTCTTTAAACTTTTAAAAAATTCAAGATATATTCTGAATCTCTCTCTCTTATATACAAGATCCCCGTTCCCAAGGATTTATAATTTTAATAACAATAATCATCTCTGAACACTACTAATCACTTAATAGTTTTAATTAAACATGACTATCTAGCCGAATTTCAGAATTTACCGGTTTCCTTCCTGAGAAACAATTCCACATGTTCTAGGTTTGATTATGAGTTGATGTCAGTTAGTGAACCAGGGAGTACTAAATAGAGGTTTCGTCCTAGTTCAGGACTCATCAAAAGTAAGCGCCCAGCAGGTTTCGAATCCAAGATCTTCTGGTTACATGGTGGACCCTTGTAAACCGCTCAGCCACTAGGATCCTATCCGATGGGTCATGAATTCCAGTTTCTGCTAATTCACACTATATAGCATTTCAACATGTTCTATTATCAAGCAACATGAAAACTGACGTCTATAACCTTTCAGAAACACTGTTTAACTGTACAATCTTGATGAGAAGTTGCAAAAAGGGTATTCTTTATTGACCTACGTCTTTTTAATTTATATCCCATAGGTATTCTTCACAGTGGCTAGATATATGCGCTAATAAAGTACAAGCCATAAAGATTTTTCTCAATTGCTTACAGTCTGAGTGAAATATAAAACTTCATGGGCCATTAAATTGCGTCCCAATGGCTGAATGGTATACGAGCTTGGCTTATAACCGGAAGGTCCTGGGTTCGAACCTCAGTGGGTATGTGCTGCCGATGATTCC